CCCATGAGAATCCCCTGGTACCTTTTTCATAGGCTTTTTTGAGTTGGGGCAAGGACACAGGGCCCCATGATCCCCCATTGCCCGGGGGCTCCATGAGTTGTCAGTCCGCCCCTGACTCCAATGTATCTTTGGATGAACAATGTTGACACCTTAGGTTGCTTTTCTGATTTGAACTGCAAACGCATCTTCCTCTCTGCATCTCCATTACATTGCGGGCAAGGAAATAAGTAATTTACCGAAGAAAGTTTGGAAGAGAGATAATAGTGTTTGTGATTTCAATTGACAAGAAGTTATAGGGACACTGTATTACTTAAAGATTCTATAAGATCAACAGGTATTTTCTATACTTGCTAAAAATTTTTGTAGGTGAATTAAAATTATAGTTATGGTGCCTAATGTAAATTGTGTAAAATATGCAGCTGCCCCTATTAGGTGGAGGACCACACTTGTGCAAATCAATATTTATAACTAGACAGGCGCTACATAAATAATGTGCCTAAACATATAAGAGGCTTGTTTCACAACAAGCCCCTAAACTAAACCATTAAATTATATATATATTGTACCTATAGTGGATGCTATATTCACCACTACCTTCACAAAAAACATGAAGAAACACAAAATTCAATAAAAGTCCAAAGGTGAGTTTAGGTTTTGAAAGAAGTGACAGTCCTTTCTATTCCTCTATAGTGTGACCCAAAATAAGTGAGTGATTTTATATCTTCACCACATGCCAGCAAGGTATATATAAATTGCTCACTCATCAGACCTTTTGACCCCAATTAAGGTGGTCAGATGCGCTTTTGGTCATATAGGGAACCATCCTCTCAGGCTTTCCTAGAAATGTTGCTCCCCTACAGCTGCTTTCCATTGATAAGCCCAAAAGCTAAGGCAATGGGATTTTCAGCAAATTCTCCAATTCATCTATGGTATTCAATGCTAATCCTTATGGAGATGTGGTGCCAAGCCGTTCAGATAGACCAGACAGATATAAAATATTTCTAAATGCAGCATTTATTAAATACACATTATGAGCATAAAACAAAACAATTTTGCACTCATATGGAGCGGTGCCTATATTACCGGCACCAGTTTCTGCAGCTTGAGAATATCAAAGATGGCTGACGTGTAACCAGGCCTCGCTTTTGCTATGGCTGAACATCCCCGGACCCGGAAGTGACGTAGTGACGCTTCGACGTATGTTTCGCCCAGTGCACCTTCCTTTCTGCATCTCCATTACATCGTGGGCAAGGAAATATGTAATTTACCGAAGAAAGTTTGGAAGAGAGATAACAGTGTTTGTGATTTCAATTCACAAGAAGTTATAGGGACACTGTATTACTTTAAAATTCTATAAGATCAACAGGTACTTTCTATTCTTGCTAAAATTTTTTGTAGCCTAGCTATGAAAACTAATGCAGGAACTGCATCTAAGGACCAGTAAACTGCAATGGATTAGATTTACTAAAACTGGTGCACTCAGAATTTAGTGCAGCTGTGCATGGTAGCAAATCAGCTTCTAACTTTTACTTGTTCAGTTAAGTGTTGGCAATAAAAACTGGAAGCTGATTGGTTTCTATACAGAACTGCACCAGATTTTGCACGCTCCACTTTTAGTAAATAACCTATACAATATTCTTGACTTTAGATTTCCTTTAAATGTGTTTTGATAGATTGTGGTTGTAATACCTTTACATTCTTTATAATTCTGGCACTTTATATACTGTATGTAGCACTACCACCTTAGGAGATTCTGAAGATTTGGGTCCCTCTATAGTCCTGAAAAGACAGGCATCACACATTTTACATTCAGACTTGCTTCAGGAGACAGAAAGCCAGTCCTTTAGCTTGTTTTGAAGTTTTATTGAGGTTGTAGAACTTGGATGGGGTAAGGGGTGTATGGGATGCCCAAGGGTAATGGTAACAAAGGACAAAATGTCTAGAACTATAATATAAATTATATTATTAGAAGAAATCCTCTTCTAGGAGAGCTGTCCAGCCTCTCCTTGTGTACCACCCTAGACCCCATATAATCCTCTTCTTTATTTCCAGCTTATTTGGAGGAATCCCTGGGCAAGGGAATCCAAAGCTGCTACTTAAAATGTAACAGTCCTGGGTGTAGAGCTAGTCAGGTTTCCCACTCAAATACTCCTTCCCTTTCTGGCCCAGGGAGTTCAGGAGTACCCACTGAGTCCTTCTCCTGTGCTGCTGTTGGGTAGGTGGCTGCTACCAGGCTGGGCCGCTCCTTCCCTGCCTCCAGGTGGTCCTCTTTCAGAGGGTCAGTGAAGTAGACAGCTTTCTTCCCTTCAAGGTCCCTCTGCCTGGAGGTGAACCCATTCCATCCTGGGCTCTCTCCCAGGCTCCTGCACCTCAGGCTCACTTCTCCATCTTCAACCCGAACTCTCCTTCCAACTCCCCTACTACTGAGCAGGCTCCAACACTTTTAAGGGTGTCTCAAACCCTTACCATGCCTTCTGTTGGTGATTGGCTGAGGTCCCTCAAAAATGCAGCCAGCCACTCCTCAGATCCATCCACTGCCTCTTGAACCTCCCTCCAAAGCTCCAGAGCAGGGGGAAATTCCAGAGGGGCTGATTTGCAGGGTGTCTCAGCCCTGACCACAATTTGACTCCATTCTGGTTATTACACCTGGGATGCTACTTAGCCCCTGTCTAATCATTGGAGTCTAGCTCCCCCTAGCTACCTAGGGGGGCGCTACATGTATATGGTAGCATAGATTTACATAAAGAACATATTATCCAAAACCAAACAAATGGGTGCTTATGATGCCCAGTTCTTGGATCTAGTGACTGTCCATCATGCCTGCACACCTGTATTTGTGGCACTTAGGTGCTCCAGTTGCTATGAAATTCTGGTCATAGGAATGAATTATAACATCTGATGTAAATAGATAAATGTTTATGAATGCCACTACTTCCATTTACAAGTGCACTCGTATAGGTGTTTTTTTTCCCTGTTCATGTGCATGCATCCTATTAGTTAATATGCTTGGTATTATATCCCTATAGAAGTAATTATTCTTTGACTGTAGCCCTGTTAATTCCCTGAATGCAATGATAGTCATTCAATCTTGGCCTATTGGTTACTGGAAGTCCAACTGAACGTTTATGTTTTATTACTGTAATGCAGTCAGGATGTATATACAGTAATAAATCTGGTCTTCTTTTACTGTTTTTTTTTACACTTGTAAGTGCTGCAGCATGTGTTAGGCTTCATGTGTACTGTATGCTATTCACATTTTTTTCTCCTAGAGGAGTTTAGCAGCAGCAAAAATGCAGTGAAAAGCCACATTTTACATGTTCGTTAATGCGTGTTCACAGAGTTCTGGCCATTAGAATGCATTAATGTGGGAACCCACCTAGCTTTAATGCACGTTATGGAGCTTTTGAGCATTTGCATGCGCAAAAGCTTCTCTCTCCTTAACCACTTCCTGTCCGGACACTTTTACCCCCTTCCTGTCCAGGGCAATTTTCAGCTTTCAGCGTTATCACACTTTGAATGACAATTGCGCGGTCATGCAATACTGTACCCATATGAATTTTTTACCATTTTTTTGAGACAGATAAAGCTTTATTTTGGTGGTATTTATTCACTGCTGGGATTTTTATTTTTTTTGCTATGTAAATGAAAAAGTCCAAAAATTTTGAAAAAAGTGGGTTTTTTTTATAAAATTTTGCAAATAAATAATATTTCATCATAAATCTTGGCCAAAATTTATTCTGTTATTTTCTTAGTAAAAAAAAAAAAATCCAAATTAGTTTATAACCAAAAATTATAATTTTTAAACATTTTTTTTTTACATTTTTATTTTATTTTTTTATATTATTATTTTTTAGTTTTATTTTTTTTTACATACTGTCACCCTAGCAGTACAGTGTCACCATGGTGACACTGTACTACTTGTGGGGGGTGATGAAGATTTTTTATTTTTTTTTTTACACTGCTTTTACACCCATATAGGATGTAAAAGCAATCATTTCTCTTTCTCTCTGTCTGCATTCTTGCAGTCATTGAGAAGTACTGAGTAAGCTGTGATTGGTCACAGCTTGTCACATGGTACAAGGCTGTTGTAAATAGCCTTGTACCATGTGACCTCTGTGATCATTCACAGATTTCACACGTAGTAAGCAATGATGTCACAAGTGACATCTTACTTACTACTTTGCATGTGATCACTGATTGGCCAATCAGTGATCACATGATCGGGACCTCGTACAGAGGTCCCGTCCGACGATCGGTGTTTCACTGTGTCCGGAGGACACAGCGGGCACCGGATCGCAGTGCTGCGCACTCCCAGGGAGCGCGCACAGCTAGAAAAGGCAGGTGCCGTTTATGAACGGCAACCCGCCCCTGGACTGCCACCGCGCTGCCGTTTATAAACAGCAGGTGGACGGCAAGTGGTTAATGCACAAGTGATGTTTTTTTTCTGCCTCTACACTCCCTGCCACTAAATTCCTGAAAACACCTTTAGTGTGCATGAACAGATAGGCTAACACAGAGGGGAGTTTACAGGCAGAGAAGTGAAGAGCTCATGAGGCTTTAACATACCCTTCGCTGCATCAATCTGCAGTGTCAGACTGTAGCTCTCTAACACTAAGCAGTGGCCCAGATCTCCTGACATTTGACACTTCACAGTGCACCAATCAGCATGGCTGCTTGAGTAACGAGAGAGAGGTTGATTGCTCCAATATAGGGGGTGTGTCGGAGTAGAAAAGTGCACTGCTGCTTAATGTTTGAGAGCTGCGGTCTGATTCTCCAGATTGCTGTGACAGGGTATTTCAACCCTTGGTGCAATGCTTGTGTAAAAAACAGTAAAAAAATAAAAGATCTGATTTTACTATATATACAGCCTGGCTGTATGACAGTTATAATCATAAGGCTTTAATTGGGCTTAAATTTCTGCTCAGTTCTGCATTGCACAGATACCTCTTATTCTTCAGACAGGGTCGCAACTACATTAAATTGCCAAAAGTACTGGGACACCCCTCCAAATCATTGGAATCAGGTGTTCCAATCACCTCCATGGCCACATGTGTATAAAATCAAGCACCTAGACATGCAGACTGCTTCTACAAACATTTGTGAAATAATAAGTTGCTCTCAGGAACTCAATGAATTCAAGTGTGGTACTGTGATAGGTTGCCACCTGTGCAATGAGTCCATCCATAAAATTTCCTTGCAACTAATTATTCCATGGTCAACTGTTAGTGGTATTATAACAAAGTGGAAGCAACTGGGAACAGCAACTAAGCCATGAAGTGGTAGGCCATGGAAAATTACAGAGCAGGGTCAGCGCATGCTGAAGCGCACAGTGTGCAGAAGTTGCCAACTGTCTGCAGAGTCAATAGCTAAAGATCTCCAAACTTTCTGTGGCCTTCAGATTAGCACAACAACAGTGCCTAGAGAGCATCACAGAATGGGTTTCTATGTCCGAGCAGCTGCATCCAAGCCTTACATCTCCAAGTGCAATGCAAAGAGTCAGATGCAGTGGTGTAAAGCACACCACCACTGGACTCTAGAGCAGTGGAGATGTGTTCTCTGGAATGATGATTCACATTTCTCTGTCTGGCAATCCGATGGACGTGTCTGGGTTTGGTGGTTGCCAAGAGAGCAGTACTTGCCTGACTGCATTGTGCCAAGTGTAAAGTTTGGTGGAGGGAGGATTATGGTTTGGGGTTGTTTTTCAGGGGTTGGGCTTGGCCCCTTAGTTCCAGTGATGGGAACTCTTAAAGTATCAGCACACTAAGACATTTTGGACAATTTCATGCTCCCAACTTTGTGGGAAGAGTTTAGGGATGGCCCCTTCCTGTTCCAACATGACTGCGCACCAGTGCACACAGCAAGGTCCATAAAGACATGGATAAGTGAGTATGGGGTGGAGGACCTTTACTGGCCTGCATGGAGTCCTGACCTCAACCCGACAGAACACCTTTGGGATGAATTAGAGCCAGGCCTTCTCGTCCAGCATCAGTGCCTGACCTCACAAATGCGCTCTGGAAGAATGGTCAAACATTCCCATAGACACACTCCTAAACCTTGTGGCCAGCCTTCCCAGAAGAGTTGAAGCTGTTATAGCTGCAAAGGGTGGGCCAACTTAATATTGAACCCAACGGACTAAATCTGGGATGCCGTTAAAGTTCATGTGCGAGTAAAGGCAGGAGTCCCAATACTTTTGGCAAGACAATGTATCTGAATTGGGCCCCACAGCAAAAGCATTTAGGGCATGCTGCCTTTCCAATCTCTATCTCAAAGACATTATTTATTTATTAATTTCAGGCACTTATATAGCGCCGTCAATTTACGCAGCGCTTTACATATATATATTGTACATTCACATCAGTCCCTAACCCTCAAGGGTCATAAAATCTAAGGTTTATCTCTAGTAATACAGAATAATAATGGCTTTCCTAACAATTGAATAGAAGTTTCCAATATTTTATGCATTCATTTTATCCAAACGTATCTGGCAAAACCTATTTCTACCTGTATTAATCATTGTGCAGCCAGACACTTATGGCCCTCAGCAGCAGCAGTCGCATGGTCAATGTGGTCTTTACTGGAGACCCTTGAACTCATGTCATATGACAGTGCTCCTTGTGGGGAGAAAAATATCTACAATCAGCCATTCCATGGACCCGGTGCCCTTTTCCATGGCCAAAGAGCTTTATTGTGAATTGGCATAAGGAAGAGAGGAGAAGGAGTGGTGGCACAATAGAATAAATGACTGATAAATAAATTTTAATGTATTAGTAATAGAATGGCACCAAGGGAATCCTAAAGCAGTAGCTAGGATGCTGTATGATTCCCCTGGCTTTTACTAAAAAGCCAAGGTGCCTTTTTCACTATGATGCCTGCATGTACTGTATTATTTTGTACAGTCTTCCTGCACTGCTGCTGGTATAAAAGGTTCAGACTGAGTCTTCCAACTACAGACGAGAGCTGCTGTATTTGTAGACGACCCTCAAAGAAAGATTTTTATAAATCAATCTCCTGTAGTTAGACGGACCCTCAAAAAAAAAAAATCTTTTTTTCTAACATGTTATGGACTTGGCCTTGTTTAAAAAAACGACTATAATTGTGTTTTGGTCTATTTTATTTTTAAAATATTAAAAAAAACAAAACAAAAAAAAATCCCCAAATAATCCAAAAAGAAATAATTTTTAATGTTGTCTGTATAACTTGTTTATATTATAAATATGCATCTACTACGCGGTGTTATCATGTTACTATTAACTGGTCTTACGGATACAGATTTTTTTGAGGCCCTAAAATGCCAGGACAGAACAAATACCCCCAAAATTACTCCTTTTCGGAAAGTAGACAGTCCAAGGTAAGAAGCATGGTAAGTTTTTTAAAGTTGTGGTTTTTGTCACTTCTTTTCACAATTTGTATTTTTTACGTACTGTCACCAGTAGAGATGAGCGAATTATTCAAAAATTCGATTCGGCTGATTCGCCGAATTTGCGGAATAAATTCGATTCGATGCGAATTTATTCGCTGCGAATTTAACTTATTAAAAGGGTTTCTAGGCTTCAGAGAGCCTTTATATTAGTGCAAACACTGTACCTTTAATTTAAATGCCCTTGGAGTCTGCTGGGGAAGAGAAATAATACTGTCAGTCAGTATGACATGCAGATGAGTGCCGTCGATCTTAGAATCACCGCACACTTCACTCATTTGGGCAGTCACGGGGCACGACGAAGAAGATGATGATGAAGAAGATGATGAAGAAGAAGATGATGAAGAAGATGAAGAAGAAGAAGAAGAAGAAGATGATGAAGAAGATGATGAAGAAGAAGATGATGAAGAAGATGAAGAAGAAGAAGAAGATGATGAAGAAGAAGAAGAAGATGAAGAAGAAGATGAGGATGATGAATGAAGAAGAAGATGAGGATGAAGAAGAAGAAGAAGATGAGGATGAAGAAGAAGAAGAAGATGAGGATGAAGAAGAAGAAGAAGAAGAAGAAGAAGAAGAAGAGAATGAGGATGAAAGAAGAAGAAGAAGAAGAAGAAGAGGAAGAGGATGAAGAAGAAGAAGAAGAGGAAGAGGATGAGGATGAGGATGAAGAAGAAGAAGAAGAAGAAGAAGAGGATGAGGATGAAGAAGAAGAAGAAGATGAGGATGAAGAAGAAGAAGAAGAAGAAGAAGAAGAAGAAGAAGAAGAAGGAAGAGGATGATGAAGAAGAAGAAGAAGAAGAAGAGGATGAAGAAGAAGAAGAAGAAGAAGAAGATGAGGATGAAGAAGAAGAAGAAGATGAGGATGAGGATGAAGAAGAAGAAGAAGATGAGGATGATGATGAAGAAGAAGAAGAAGATGAGGATGATGATGAAGAAGAAGAAGATGAGGATGAAGAAGAAGAAGAAGAAGAAGAAGAGAATGAGGATGAAGAAGAAGAAGAAGAGGAAGAGGATGAGGATGATGAAGAAGAAGAGGATGAGGATGAAGAAGAAGAAGAAGATGAGGATGAAGAAGAAGATGAGGATGAAGAAGAAGAAGAAGAGGATGAAGAAGAAGAAGAAGAAGATGAGGATGAAGAAGAAGAAGAAGAAGAAGAAGAAGAAGAGAATGAGGATGAAGAAGAGGATGAGGATGAAGAAGAAGAAGAAGAAGAGGAAGAGGATGAGGATGAAGAAGAAGAGGATGAGGAAGAAGAAGAAGAAGAAGAAGAAGAAGAGGATGAGGATGAAGAAGAAGAAAGAAGAAGAAGAAGAAGAAAGAAGTAGGATGAAAATAAGAAGAATTCCAGTACAGCAAAAAGTGTATCTGCAGAGAGCTCCGCTATTTCTGACAGTTCTCTGACAGTTCCTTCACATTTACAGCGGTTGAAACATTGTATCTATTTGTTTCCGAATAAAAACATCTGTATCCTAAATGGAAACAAATAGATACAATGTTTCAACCACTGTAAATGTGAAGGAACTGTCAGAGAACTGTCAGAAATAGCGGAGCTCTCTGCAGGGACACTTTTTGCCGGCTGTAGAAGGGATGAAAATCGGCCGATCGGGAAAAATTCGATTCGTGCATCCGAAGTTTGCTAATTTTCGGATTCGGTGCGAATCGAATTTTTCCTAATATTCGAAACGAATTCCACTTCGCCAAGTTCGATTCGCTCATCTCTAGTCACCAGTGCAGGTCAGTGTCACCATAGCGACATTATTCTACTGGGGGGAGTAGTCAATCAGGGTTTTTTTTTACACTGTGATTGCTTGGTAGTGTGATGATCACTGTGAGATGATCACTGTACCAGCAACCTTTTGAACTGTCATGAAGTGCTTTCATTCATTATTCATTGCTTACTATTGTGATGTTGTGATTGGCCCACAGCTATCACATGGTACAGGGTGCTGTGATTGGTCTAGGTACCATCCCTGGTGATCAATTACAGATCACACACAGTAGTATACAATGATGTCATGAATAGATTTCATTCATTTCTATTGTTTACTATGTGACATGTGTATGTGGGCTGCTCACAGTGGCTGGCGGACACATCAGTTGCACAGTGGTAGTGCGTATGAGCCATCCGCCAGCAGTAAATTTACTGTTTGCAGTCAGCAGCTGGTTAAATTAGTGGTGAGCTGAACAAAGCTGGGTAGCCAAATTTGAACGCCATTAAAGTCAGACACTATCAGAGGGGATCAGTAATGACCATTTTCTAGACTAATAGGCAAGAGATTGCCAAAGAAAGAGCAAGGCAGGCTGGGCACTACCCTGGAGATCATGTACAATAAAAAAAAAATCAGTTTGGGGGAAGCAGTGATTTAATAATGCTTAAGTGAAACATTAAAAATGCAAAATTCCTTTAACCACTTGCCTACCGGGCACTTTTACCCCCTTCCTGCCCAGGCCAATTTTCAGCTTTCAGTGCTGTTGCACTTTGAATGTCAATTGCGCGGTCATGCAACACCAAAGTTAAACCGTCTTATTTGTGTGGCAGGCTCATGAGCCCACAGGTGACAATGAAGACAGGCAAAGATGCAGTGGCAGCAAGTAACCATTAGGGGGAGCTGAGAAGCTGCAACAGGAATAGGAGCCCATCTCACCTGCCTAACACAGACAGGGTTATTTATGTCAAGCATAACTCCCCAGCCCTCTTCTTAACATTGCTTTGACATAGTAGGTAGGATTTTAAACAAGTAAAAGCTTAGTGTGATGGTTAGCTGACAGTATTGCAGGAACAGAGTGTTGGCAGTGTAGTGTACTACTGCAGCTGTACAGTGATATATACAGCAGTTTTACAGTGAGTCACAGTTGGTGTAGATAGGGATAATGGACATTAACACCCCGGTGACATCGGGTGCGACTTGGAATGCAATTTGCATGCCATGTGACTTGCAAATCGTATGCCAAGCCGCACCCTATTGTCTGTAATTACAGCAGTCAAACTGGTGTGGATCCAACTTGGTCGGAGCCGCACAGATTTCCAAAGTAGTACATGTACTACTTTTGGTGCGATTTGAATAGACATCTGTGTCAGATGTCTTGCAAATCGCATCTGAAATCAGCATCTCACCCGACTTTGAAATCGTGCGACTTCACTGTAAATTGCACGATTTAAAAGTCAGGCTTGATGTGACCGGGGGGGTAAGCCCACATGCATTCGCTATGCGTTTACTGTCCTTTCAAGACCAGAAACCAGTCAT